GACATACGTGTATGTGTGCAATAGACACTTGGACATACGTGTATGTGTGCAATAGACACTTGTTGGACATACGTGTATGTGTGCAATAGACACTTGTTGGACATACGTGTATGTGTGCAATAGACACATGTTGGACATACGTGTATGTGTGCAATAGACACTTGGACATACGTGTATGTGTGCAATAGACACTTGTTGGACATACGTGTATGTGTGCAATAGACACATGTTGGACATACGTGTATGTGTGCAATAGACACTTGTTGGACATACGTGTATGTGTGCAATAGACACACGTTGGACATACGTGTATGTGTGCAATAGACACTTGTTGGACATACGTGTATGTGTGCAATAGACACTTGGACATACGTGTATGTGTGCAATAGACACTTGGACATACGTGTATGTGTGCAATAGACACATGTTGGACATACGTGTATGTGTGCAATAGACACATGTTGGATATACGTGTATGTGTGCAATAGACACTTGGACATAGGTGTATGTGTGCAATAGACACTTGGACATACGTGTATGTGTGCAATAGACACTTGTTGGACATACGTGTATGTGTGCAATAGACACTTGTTGGACATACGTGTATGTGTGCAATAGACACATGTTGGATATGGTATGTGTATGTGACAACTAGGCAGAGTTTGGACCTACGTGTGTATGTGGGCTAAAGATAAGGCTTGGGCAATATTATGTGTATGTTGGCAAAAGGTAGTGTTTATTCACAATGGTACAGCACAAGTTGGACAGACGTGTACGTGAGCAATAGGCAGGGTTTATTCATACGTGTTTGTGAGCAATAGGCAGGGTTTATTCATACGTGTATGTGAGCAATAGGCAGGGTTTATTCATACGTGTTTGTGAGCAATAGGCAGGGTTTATTCATACGTGTTTGTGAGCAATAGTCAGGGCTTATTCATATGTGTATGTGAGCAATAGGCAGGGTTTATTCATACGTGTACGTGAGCAATAGGCAGGGTTTATTCATACGTGTTTGTGAGCAATAGGCAGGGTTTATTCATACGTGTATGTGAGCAATAGGCAGGGTTTATTCATACGTGTTTGTGAGCAATAGGCAGGGTTTATTCATACGTGTTTGTGAGCAATAGTCAGGGCTTATTCATATGTGTATGTGAGCAATAGGCAGGGTTTATTCATACGTGTACGTGAGCAATAGGCAGGGTTTATTCATACGTGTATGTGAGCAATAGGCAGGGCTTATTAATACGTGTATGTGAGCAATAGGCAGGGCTTATTCACAATGACGTACCATAAATAGGACATATATTATTATGGTGGGTATGTGAGCATGTAGATAGTGATTTTATCACAATGATATTTATAACTCTAGTTGGACATAATATGCATGTGTGAGCAATAGGTAGAATCCATTCACACTAACACAGCATACTTTGAACAGATTATTCGTATTTAAGCAACACGCAGGGTTTATTCAAACTGACAAAGCCCAATTTGGACATATTATTATTATTATGCATATGTGAACAGGCAGGCAGGATCTATTTATAATGAAGCAGTGCAAGCTTGACGTGATATTCATAATTTTATGCGCGTGAGAAAATAGCCCGGACTTATTCACAAAAATGTCACATATGTTGGAACAGTAGCTGTGCGTCAGAAAGAAGCCAGGATTTTCTTTTCCAACAAAGAGCAAGCTGGACGTAATCATATGCGTGTGAGAAGGCAGGCAGGCAGGATTTATACGTGTTGGACATAATGTGTATTTGAGAAAATAGTCAGGACATATTCACAACGACATAGCACACACAAGTCGGAATATTACCTATATACCAGGAGGTAGACAGAATTTGCTCACAATAATATTATAGCACGAACTGGAAATATAATATTATATGTATATTTATTTATGCGCAGGAATTTTTTCTCAGCAGCATAGCACACGTTGGACGTAATACTATGTGTATTTATGAACAGACAGGCTACAGTTATTTACAATATGTGTATTTATGAACAGACAGGCTACAGTTATTTACAATATGTGTATTTATGAACAGACAGGCTACAGTTATTTACAATATGTGTATTTATGAACAGACAGGCTACAATTATTTACAATATGTGTATTTATGAACAGACAGGCTACAGTTATTTACAATATGTGTATTTATGAACAGACAGGCTACAGTTATTTACAATAACATAACACCATAAGTTGGACAGATTATGCGTTTGCGAGCAGACAGCTGGATTTTTTCCACTCAAACAGAGTACAATTGGAACACGAGTGTGTTTTTGTTGTTCATTACTCATCTGATGACAGCAAGAATCGACTCTGCAGTCTGGTCTGTTTTCTTCGGATAATCCTTCTGTCGCTGTCGTGATAACCATGGTGACGGTGAGTTGGTGCCAGTTTTACTTTGGGTGTGGGATGGTCGTTGGTGCTGGAATCTTTGACTGTTTTGTTGCGTTTCGGGTTTGTTGTTTTTGTGGATGTTGTTTGTTTTGTTTGGGGTTTTTTGTTGTCCGGTTTATTAATTTTGTTGTTTTTTGTTTTTGTTTTTGTTTTCTGGTTTATTAATTTTTTTAAAAACATTTTCCGGTTTACTAATTTTGTTTCTTTTTGTGTGTTTTTTTTCGGTATTTTGCACATTCCTATCTCCTGGTGCGTTTGTATGTTGTACACGTTCCATCTGCTCAGAGCTCAGTACCTGGTTTTGAGAACATCGACGTGAAAGATTTTGAATTTCACAATATTTCCAGATTTTTCGAAAGTAATTCTTTGAATAATAACGACATGTTGATGACTACTCCGAATAATCTCAGGAATGTGATAGAGCGGACAGAACATTGCTTGATGGATGACCTCATGGTGTTTGTAGACAGAACTCAAAAAGGCCAAAAAATGTCATTATATTATAGAAGTGTGTAATACTGAAGTAGCGCAGTAGGAAGCAGATGATTCCTTCACGTCTTTGTTGACTTGTGGCGTTGGGAAGACGTTCTCAGATCACTAGCACTCTTTTTTTTCTTTTTTTAGTTGAGGGTTTTACGGCGCACGCAACTGCATAAGGTCATTTGAGAGCCAAGGGGTGGGTGTCAACAGAGAAGTCCGTACAGGGAATCTGACTTAGTCTGCTCACCTCTCTAGCTTCAACAACATAAAGTCTGCTTCGACTATCAAGGCACTCCGGAAATAGCAGGTCACAAGAGTGTGACAAACATACAAAAGAAGTAGATGTAGAGGAAGATGACAACAGTAAGGATTAGGAAAGAAAAAGCAGCAGTTCCCTGCTGTAGATCAGGCACAGTTATGAGCGTGACATGAATCAGCCCATTTACAATTCTACTGCGCATGAACGAGAAATGCCCCCCCCCC